CCTAAATAAGCCATTTAACCCTGGAAAGAGGAACCACATTGTCTCATACTCATAACTAAGTAATAAGAAGTATCCCTTTTCAGCACTTGGGTCCCTGAAGCACAGGACACAGGTCCCCACTGTACATTCCTTTAACTTTCTATTCCTGTGAAATTTGAAGGCCACTGAATGAGTTGCATGGTCCTTAAACAGAGAAAATTTTTTTTTGTCTTTTTGAGACAGGGTCTCCTTGTAGCTCCTGCTGTCCTGGAAACACCAAAGTTAAAACCTTCTAAAAAAAAGACCTACTCTGCACTGTTCACCTAGCTAGAGCTAACTGAAATGAGACAGCAGATCCAGGCTTGTACCAGGCAGCTTGGTCTGGCTGTCCTTAAACTCTGTGAATCCAATGCTTCCTCTGATGTTCTGTGGAATAGTGAGAAAATTAAAATGTCAGAGCAAAGCTGCCAACTCAGAGAAAACGACTTCAACTCAATCTGGATCATCTAGAGAAGATGCAGGCATGCAAGGGCTGGCAGCTGTGTAGACTGTTCAGCTCTAATCAAGCAGTTTAATGCAGAGGAAAGGAGAGAGATATGACTACCAGGCACGAATATCTACAACATGTGCACTGTGCTATTTATTGCTTAGGTATTCACATTCAGCTTTTAGTTAATGGCTACTATTTTAGAAGATATTTGCATATTTAAACATGAGTGAAGGACTATAAAGAATCTGTCCTGCCATGAGTAACTTTCTATTTATATAGAAAGGTATCAGGGCATGCTCATTTTGCTTTCCCAATATTTGAAAGCTGTATGTGTACAGCTGATATGACAAAAACAACAGATACATATTTCTGGCTGGGTAGAAGTAAGTGATGCAGGTGTCCTTGGCACAAAACCATTGGCAGTACTAAAAATAATAGAATAACAAGGAGAGCAATTACCAGTTAGTGAAATCTCTGTTCTGCACATCATAACAGTAAAGAAATCATGTTGTGTCATGGTTATTGGTAGGGAAAAAATATAAAGACTGCAACTTTGCTGAAATAGTACTTAATGTTTTTCTATAAGGGAGCGCATAATGGCTAGAACATTTTTAATTGTAATCATAATTCAAAATTTACTGTGGTACTGGGATGGAACCCGGGACCTCACACATGCTAGGTAAGGGTTCTACTACTGAATTCTATCCCCAGCCCTTTTGTACTTTTTTTGTTTATTTGGGGTTTTTATTTTTCGGTTGGTTGGTTGGTTTGGGGATTTTTGAGACAGGGTCTTATTGTGTAGCCCCGGCAGGCCTGGAAGGTGCTATGTACACCAAGCTTACTTCAAACTCTCAAACTCACAGAGATTCACCCGCCTTTACCTCCTGACTGCTAAAATTTATGTTGTGTGCCACCATACCTAACCTCCCCTTGCACTTTTCTGAGTCAGCGTCTAAGTTGCCCAGGCTGGCTTTGAATTCAACCAGGCCTAAGCCTTGAACTTGTGTTCCTCCTCCCTAAATTTCCAAAGGGGAGATTACAGCCATGTACCACCAGGACCACAGAATAATATTTTATGTAAATATCAACAATTGCATGTTATGCCACATACAGAGAGATAAAACATTATGGCCTTTAAAAGGATAGTCTCAGTCATTATAATTTTTCTTGTAACTATAATTATTGTATAGTAAAACACACACATATGTATGCACACACACACCTCACACATACACACACACACACACACATGCACACGATAATTTCAGACTATTTCACTCTGGTAAAGAATAGCTTCATTAATACGTTTATATATCAATTATATTATTTGCAAACCACAGAAGGTCTATGATGTTTGGTAACAACAATATATTTTAATATATTAAGATGAGATTAAATCTGCTTTTTGCAAATCAGAAAAAAATAGCCTCCTGAGATAAGTGAGGGGATGCCTTTACTTTGGTAATTGTTTAGAATCTTTTGTTTTGTGACACTAGCAGTACTAAAACAGACCACTTGCTCAGAGAGTGCACAGTGTGCCTTATCCACCCAGAGGTGACAGCTATGGGAAATAGACTGATTACCGTGAAGAGGGTTTAGGAGGGAAGGAAGAGGTTCTAACTTTCCTTCCACAAATCAGGCATTGTGTTTTATGGACTGACAGGCCCATGATAGACCTGTACCCAAAATCATTGCCCACTCTTAAAAAAAATCTAACTTGCTGTGAGAACCAAGTGTGTATAAGTTCTACAAAAATCATTTCCTGCACAAAATTATACAACTAAGATTTGCCCTATTTTAATGAGGGAAAAACTGTCAAAATTGAAATTCTAAAAATAGTGGTTTATACTTGAAATCCTAATTCCCTCCTAATTATAGGGATGCTATATTGGTACTCTAATTAAGCAGGATCAGCAACTGCAGAGCAGGTCACCAGTCAAACAGAGCTCCACAGAGAGGGAGTTGCAGGCACACAGAGGCCAACTCTGGCCTCTGACACCTCCGAATTAGTACATGTTTGGCCCCCTCCCATTTTCCCAGTCTAGTAACACAAAGCAAATATTAACACATTAACAATGATTTATTGATAATCATTACAGAGAAGTATAGATTTTAAATTAGAAAATTAGAGCTTATGTCAGACTTCTAGAACTTTTTTGGACTCATTGACTTCACGTAATGTTAACATAGTCCAAGTTTGTATTAAATTTTTGACCTGAACTCTGAAAGAATTTTAGACTTTAATTAAAACAACTAACATCACCATAGCATAAAGGAGGCCACTATAAGCCCGAAATTCAATATAAGGTGCTTTCATCTCAACAAAGTTGTTTTATGAAACCAGTAATTAATATTAAACAAGTTTCTAAGAGATCTAATATCTATTTTAGAAATGAACATTAATCTCTGAATGGGCCTCAGTTGCTTTTCCTTCTTTATTTAGTATAAAAATATGCACAGTGCCCTCACTTCTCAAATCATTTTCCCCAAAGCTGAATCCAAAATTTGCTATGATAAAAATATATGATTACTTTGGTGGCCCAGAGGTGCCCTACTACTAAATAACGATAAAATTGATAAAATCCCAAGTTTTAAAAGAATGTAAGAAGGTGAAAGCAATCAACAAAATGAAATTAGGTCACATTAGGAAACAGAAATGTTAGAACAGTGATGACTAGAAAATGTCAACAGTGTCTTCTTCCTCATGTAACTAATTCTTTTACAGGGTCTTGGGAGGGAAAGAAAATGTAAGAGATGGCCAGAAAACAAAGCATACAAGTATCCCTTCAGTCTGCCCACTTCCTTTCTCCCCACCTTCCCAGTGGGCTGGTCACATGATAATCAATTAGCTAGCTTCCTCCCATATAGGAGACTCCACATTCCTGCAGCCCAAAGACATTTGAGAAAGAGGATAGACCCAACATGTGTGATGACTCTTAATTCTAAGAAAAGAGCCATTATTTCCATTGTATGCCCCCTCCCAGAAATGTAGACTTTCATCCATACTTTAATTAATAAATTGCAGTATACCCTAGGATTTAGAGAACAATTTTAACAGTTTGTAGTAGGAAGTAGTTGGCAGTAGAGTCACCGCCAGCAACAGTGACAACACTAGGCAGACGCACAGTCGATCAGAAGAGTATCTAGAAAGAGTTAAGATTCTTTTAATCCACATATGTTGCACCAGTGAAACATGTTGTAATAGGTTCCTCTGCCAGTCATACATCTCATTTACCTCAAGCATGTTTTTATGTTTTTCTAAATAGGCAAAGGTAAAAGCAACTCACATTGATTAAGAATAACTACAATTCTTAAAACTAAATTTTAATTCTTAAGCATGCAGTCTTCTAAATTGTCTACATCTATTATTATGATTAGTCAGAAACCTGTTATATCAAAATGATCTGTGTTCATATATGTGTGTATGTGTGTATATTACATGAGTGTATATATTATAAAATATATGTCCAGAAATGATATTAAATTGTAGTTAGCACATTTATGTGTCGAAACATTCATATCTCGATCTACACTGAAGCAAGAGAAGTTGCTGTAGACTGTACTTCACACTTTCACTGAGATGCTAACAATATCAAGGCCCTCCCTTTTCCTCACATCCAAGTTGCTGTGTGTCCTTAACTGTGGTTCTGTCCTGATCACCTTTCCTCCCATCATACCTTTGGCCCAGCTGAAGTTTTCAGGAATGAGACAGAGGCCTTGTAGATGAGAGTGCTGAACTATAATCTACTGCTTTGACCAGTTAAAGGTCTTTGTCTTAATCCTGAAGCAAACTGGTCCACATCTCACTAAAATTGAGAAAGCTTCAAAGATTACTGGTTGATTATCAGATCATCATATTTCATATTTATTGGATTATTTAAATAAATCAGCTGTGTAAAAACTTGGATAGAATAAGTTAAATTTTCAGAAATAATGAAAAAAATGAAAGAAACTTATGCTAGCAACATACCTTGTCCTACAAACATAAGATGCTGTTAAAAGAAACAATTAACCTCCATTTAATAGACACATTGTAATTATGTTATCTATTTTAAAGTTGAAGGCTTTTTCTTGAAGTCCTTTCATAGAGATTTTAGAATTTATACTTGGGAACCTAATCTAATCTCTTTCCTGACTTAGAAATTGCATACCTGGTATAAGCATGTGTCACTCAATTAAAATTAGGCATTAGAGATGCAGTCACAGTTATGTAAAAAGAAAGCAGCCATCTATTAAAAAATAAAGATCTAAACTATATTTTGCTTCAATTTTGATTCAAAGGGTTATCAGTGTTTATAAAATTAAGATTTCATGGCAACACTGTTTTTTTCTGCTGAGGAGTTAAGAATGAAAACATGGAAATAATAGCTCTATTTATAGATTGGGAGGGATCCAAGACAGAAAGCAGGCCACTAGCAGATACATAGTTTCTTTCACATATCACCTTCATATGGGCTGTGTGAAAAGAGAGATAATCGAAGCAGTTAAATTTTAGGAACAAATGTTGAGGCCATGAAGCAAAATTACTTACCCTGAAAAACTCCTTAGTGGAGCCAGAGTCTAATGTTCCATAAGCAATCTCTGTTTGCTTAGAGAGATCCTCGGCACTTTCGATGGGAGACACCATCCTTTCTACAGTCAGGAAGGCAGCTAAGTTAGCCGTGTAGGAGGAGATTATGATCAGGGTAAAGAACCACCACACACCTCCAACAATGCGCCCAGAGAGGGATCTGATAACAAGTATGAAATGGATTTGTAAAATGAAATGAATGACCTAATATATAACAAGTTAATAGTCATATGCAAATACCCACTTAGAGGAAAGCATTTCACTTTGCAATACAACTGCTGCTTAGTCAACTATAAATTAGTACTTATTTTGAACACCCAGCACAGAATACGTAGAATTGAGGATTTACTCAAAGTCCTAAACTTCAGTTCTTGGGATTCTTTCATAGCTATATACCAAATAGTTGATGGTATAAAATCTCACAAGAAAGCAACTTTAAGAAATGTACAAGTAACTGACCCTATAAACATAATACTTTGTCCACATGACATTATTAAACATGAACAAGAGAGTCTAAGAATAGTAGCAACATTCACCACAAATTCAAATATTAAGAAAAGAGTGTGCCCATAAACATAGCTTTAAACAAAAAATAAGCCCCCCCCAGAATGCAGTCAATCCCCCAAAAGGTCCAGTTTCATTAGGTTTTAGTGTGAGCAAATACACAGGCATGTGACACTATACAGGGGAGAAAATGGAAAAATGAAATGATACTAAAAATCAAACATAATAATGAATAAAAATCAGATGCCTTCATGATTTGAACTGCTGTGACCCTGTTCCTCTGTGTTTCCTGCTTAAGAGAAAGAGAAAACTCAAGGAAAACAAATTAGATATTTAAGAGTCTAAAGGATATGCATTCCTAATGGGAACCATAATAGGATAGGAACATTTATATGACTATAAGGACACACAATGTTTTTAAAAGATGATTAGATTTCCAGTACATCAAAATTTGAAGTAGCTAAATATAGTTATGTAGATAAAAAGACATAAACTGTATTAGTCTGAAGGAGTTTATGGGATTCCACCCACAAGAAATTTGAGATTTTTTTTTTAAATTAGAAGAATTGGGCAATTTTTATTAAGTAATGTGGCCTTTGATACAGTTGACATAAAGTAAGTCTTGGATAGTATTGCTAAAATGAACCACTCGGTCAAGAAAAAGGGTAAGAAAATTTGAAAGTGGCTTTTTTTTTTAAGATTTAAAGGATTTGTTGATTGAAATAAAAAACTGAAAAAATATAATTGAAAATCTTTATGGTAAAATTGCTATGAAATATAAAGAATTAAATAGATATGATTGGATGGGAAGACTTAAACATTTATCATTTAGATTCTAAAATGGATATTTCATGAATTCTGCATTATATAGACACTGCTGCACTCAAAATGTTCCCTGTTTCCCCCACAGCAATGACAGGTGTAATTACAGAACATGCACCTGCATTAAGAAGGGCAGATTTGGTACCTGAGGTTGACTTCGTTAAATGCTTTTAGTCCACACTGCATCCATCTTACTAAAAGTTTAAAAATTGTATTTATAAGCTACTCTAGTCAAAAAAAAATAAAGACAAATTAACATCATCAGTTCTCTATTTCAGTGCTTAAAAATGTTTATTCAGGCTAAATAATTCAATTTTATTTTAGCTATTTTTCAGTTATAATATGTAGAAGATAACATTTCAAAATGTATTATTTAGTTTTAATACTTTTAAAAGCATCAATTAATTCTTCTAAAAAAGACTGGAGAAAATTTATGAAGAGAAAATTCAATTTTGATTTTTGGTAAGAGTTTCCATAATTAAACACAAAAGTTTTATGGATCAAGAGAGATGACTCAGAGGTTAAGAGCACTAGCTACTTTTCCAGTGGACCCCTGTTAAAATTCCAGCACCCACATCCATGTGTTGGCTAACAACCTTCCACAGCACCAGATTCATGGGATCTGACACCCTCTTCTGGCCTCTGAGGGCATTGCATGCACATGGTTTACATGCAGGCAAAACACTCATATACATAAACTTTTTAAAAAATAAAAAAAAGGTATAAAGGCAAAAGTTTTACTTCTCAGCACATATGCTAAAGAAGCAAGTGAATGTGTGAGCATGGTAGTCTTTTCTTAATATTGATTACATGCTGATTTTAAAGGACCTACGATTTTATATCTAGCGGTACTTTGGGGAAAGTAAAGCAAACTAGAGAGTGAAGGTAATCTTCACGGCATGTTGCTCTTCAAAGCTCCGTTTCTATGTTCCAAACTCTGCGAATATTTTTGGCACAATTCTAATTCAGCGCAGACCCAAAGAGAAGCCTCTGGGAATATGACAGAGTTGAGGGTTTTAGTTGTTATGATCTACATAATTCATTTTTTCCAATGTGATTTCTTTTTAAAACTCACTAGCATTCAATCACTATCAGAGAATAAGCCTTTAACAATTTTTGTCTAGAGGTACATTTCATTTATCATAGTCAGTAGAAGATTCTAAAAACCCTCGGAAAGCTAAAACGTTTTTAGAGTCTTTCATACATTTTGAAATTAATTACTTATAATTTACAGTGCTCAAAAACTAACACATTAAACAATTACCAAAAAAATCACTCCCTTCACTAGTTATGATTTTCTTTAGACTCAAAAGAGGCTATTCCAGCTCAAATTGAATTGCCCCAGAAGACAGATAATGCTTTGGCTTTAAATGTTAATGTTATCACACTAGAAAAAAAACATGATTTATTCCTCTGATGGGACACAGGTAATACCATAAACAAAAGGAATGGGTGCTTTGTGACAAATTTGTGATAATTAGGCACTTTGGGGCAGAGAGAAATAAACCTTTCCTGATGAGAACAGAGCAGTGTGAGTCTATTCCATTGTGTTTGTATATTATTATTGAATATGACACAGAGTTTTGCAGTAACTGGTCAATGGTTTTCTGTCTGAATTTCTAGACACTTGAACAATAAGTAATAAACCTTTTAATCCAGAAACCTAATCTTGAAAAAG